TCAGGTAAACGTTGAAAAACTTAGTATAAATATATCCCATGCAGTATTTGGGACATGATCTATACCAAAACATTATTTGATGTACAGCTGAAACTCCAATGCAACTAAGCGTCTTGTGTTTTATCTGGCAACCCTAATTCATACATACACACTACATACATATAAATGTACACATATACATGCAGAGATACATATGTACATGCATTTTAGAAATCAGGAGTTCACATAGATACTTCAGCTGACTCTAAATGGAAAGGAATGAATTTGCTTGATGGACAGGGATGGGAAAGGGATTCTAGGCAGGGCAAATGGCATATTATGGGACTTAAAAGAAATTCAAGGAGATCCAACTTTACTGAGTGTGGCGGGGAGTAGCAAGAGATTAAATTTTTAAACAGGTGAATGACATAGATCTTTTAGATAATCATTCTACTGGCACCAAAGAGGCCAGACTATTGGCACCCAAGAGGCTAGACTACAAGAGGCAAAGAGATGCATTAGTCTGAGGGAGAGATGATAAGCATCAAAAATAGGCAACGGAGGATGGGGAGAAGTTCAGGGGTTACAACAGAGTTAAAAATGGTAAGACTTGATGACTAAATGTATAAAGGGTTAATGTATAAATTTATACAGGGTTGAGGGAGAGGAAGGAATAAAGGACAATACTTGCTTTTCCGGTTTGGGCAACTAAGTGGCCAGGGGTGCTATGTACTGGGATAGGAAACATTGGAAGAGCAGATCTAGGACTACGAATGAGGAGTACAGTTTGGGACATGCTGAGTTTGAGGTGCTGTAGGACATCCAAGCTGAGATGTCCACAAGGTAGCTGCATCCACGGGTCTGGAGCTCAGGAGAAAAGGTCAGGATGGAAAAATATGGACCAGGGAGTCATCTACACTTTGATGAATAAAGTTATAGGAATAGACAAGGTTGTCCAGGAAGAGGCTATAGAAAGGAAGAGGAGGCAAAGAGCGTCAAGGATCAGCAACATTCAGGGGACAGGCAGGAGGCAGATCCAGCAAAGGAGACTTTGGGGTGGTCAGAAAGGTTGAATGAACGCCAGGAAAACTGGGATCATGAAAGCCCAGGAAGGAGAGATTTATCAAGGAGGCAAGGGTCAGAAACTGCAGAGAGGTCGAGATGGGTATTGAAAAGCACTCCCTGGATTTGTCAGTAAGAGCTCATCAGTGAATTCAGGAGAGTAGATGGCCGAGGTAGAAGCTGACTTGGCAAGTACCAAGTGCAGACGAGGAGATGCAGTAGCAAGGGCATGGATTCGAGAGGCAGACGGACCAGGGTTTCAAATCCCTGCTACACACATACTAGCATATTGTTCAACCACTGTACCTTTGTTCACTTGTAAGATGGGGATAACAATAGTGAACACCTCACAGGGTTGTTGCAAGGGTTACAGGAGCTTAACTATGTAAAAGAGTGCAGAGCCTAGCACATGGGAGGTGCCGTGTTACAGCTATTGCTTCGGCTTCCTACGCTGAGGCAGAAAGGTAATATCAGGTGCCTATATAACTGATGGCTACAGGGGCTTCCCTGGTGGTGCAGTGGTTAAGAATCCTCCTGCCAATGCAGGGGACACGGGTTTGAGCCCTGGTCCGGGAAGATCCCACATGCCGCAGAGCAACTAAGCCCGTGCGCCACAACTACTGAGCCTGCACTCTAGAGCCCGCAAGCCACAACTACTGAGCCCACGTGCCACAACTACTGAAGCCCGTGTGCCTAGAGCCCGCGCTCCGCAACAAGAGAAGCCACTGCAATGAGAAGCCCGCACACCTCAACGAAGAGTAGCCTCCCACTCGCCACAACTAGAGAAAGCCCACGGGTGGCAACAAAGACCCAATGCAGCCAAAAAAAAAAAAAAAAATAGACAGCTACAGAAGTGGAAGTCAGGGGGCTTCCACTGACTATGGCTTCAAGGTCATAACACGGTAGCTGTAATCCAAATCCAGTTTCAGAAGATGCTGCTGCCACTACAGTCTGTCACCCATAGGTAGTACAGAAGCCACAAACATATCCTTGGAACCTCCTGCCAGCCAACAAGCCCCAGGAAGACAGCCTCTGCTAACTGAAGCCTTTCAAACATTGCACAAAGGCATCTCATTGGCAGAACTGAAAATGTATCAGAACCCACACTGTATCGGAACCCTAGCTGCAAGGGAGTCTGGGCTAGGTGCTTTTTTAGCCTTGGGGTTGCGGGTGGGGGGAGGAATGGATGCTGAGTAGCAACAGATAATATCCAGTGCATCTATCTTGAGGGTGGAGCAAATATTTTCATCCTGACCGCTGACACCAGCATTCCACCTGTGGTCAAAACTGACAAAACCCTGCAAAATACAGAGAGGGATGGAAACCAGACTAAAGATCAAGGGATAAGCTTGAACAAGAAAGTGAATATCTCTTTCTCTTATATTGGAAGGAAAATGGTGAGAAGAGGTACAGACAGTTTTTAGGTTGGGGGCAGGAGGAGAGAGGTGGAGAAGTTACAGAAGGTTCTCTCTCAAGAGGTGTATTATCTCTTTAAAGTGGGGAACAAATATCATCTGCCCTGAGTGAAAAAGGTAGAAGCTGGTTCAGGGGCCTGATGAGCGTGGATAGCTAATGAGGGAAACAGAAGAGGAAGCTGACACAGCATGAGAAATCTTTCTGCACACCAGCTAGCAAAAAAAAAAAAGAAAAGAAAAAGAAAAAGAAAATGAAGAAGAAACACAGGACTTATTTTATAAAGCACTGTTATTCTTATTTATTGAAAATGTCCAGTTTAAAAGTCTTCAAAATAAAAACAAGTTAGAAAATTTGAGCTGTGTAAGAAGGGACATGACAGAAGAGGAACTGAAAGGCCTCGAAGGGCAGCAGTTTGACTACAGAGTAACAGGGACCCATTTATAGAGTACTGTAAACAACACAACTACGGAGACACTGCCGTCAGGTTAACATGGCTTCATTTCCCATATAGGATTATTGAGCGGGAGCGCGGACACCACTCTGCACAAGCTACATTACCCAGAGTACACAGGGCCTCTCATCAGAAGGGCCACGTCCCCAAAACATGCATACGGACACGTCACTCTAAAATAAAGACCTTTCAATATTTTAAGCAATCCTATATACCTTATCAACTAAAGTACTTTGTAATCACAAAAATGTTTCCTATGGATATAGTTTGCACATTTATTGCAAGCCATTGACTAACCACAGACCGGGCAGATGCTATGATCTGTGTTGCTGTTACTGTTGTTTTCCATTTGGAGATGAAGGATGGCATCTCTAAACTGTTGGGCTAAAAACAGAACAACGGCCATTCCTAGCAATCTTGTTCGGTCTTCAGCTTCCAAAGACAGCTGGGTGTGGTTGGCTGAGATTGATCTGCAGGAACAGTCCATTTCCCGTGGACGGTGTAATTTCTGCTGTGCAGCAAGCAGTCAACAGCCCCGTACCATGTAGTTATGGGAATAGAAAGGAAAAGGGCTTAACAAGCTGGGGAGTTCAAGTTTCAAGTTTGGTTCCTAAACAACATTCACAAAACCCACATTTATAGGCACCCATCAAACGTATGTGGGAGACAACTTCGCTCAGTCCACTGGTCCTTGGCCTCTCTTTCCAGTGATCTCCACCTGGCCAAACTTCCCGTCTTTGGGACAGACAGGGGCAGGTTGCACTGCTCTGTCCTACAGCCCCAGGCCAACTTTCAACTGTGCTGAATTTGGATGTGTGTTGCCCTCCTGTGACCCTCTTTAAACCTGGTTTATCACAGTTCTAATTTCCCAGATGCTTACAAAGGCGACGGTTTGATTCTACAAGCAACTTGAGTAAACCAGTTCCAAATAGTCAGCTTCACTAGTAGCCAGCACACAGCTACTAGAGCGGCCCTTTCTTTCTGGCTATACAAACTGGGCCAACAGCACATTTCTGCAAATCATGCTTAGAGTCCTACTCGAAGAGGCTGATGACTATCACAGCTTCTCACAGCATATATGGTAGAGCAATCAAGGGAATGAAAGCTGTCTGCCAGGGCACAACATCTCCTCAAGTGTAGACTGAAGGATGAGAAGTCGCAATTTGAATATGTGATGTAGAAAAAAGTAAGTGCTCACAGTCTGTATTTTTAAAAAGCAAAGCACACACATACCAGTTGACACACCACTTGGTATGCTTGGCTAAAAGCACTGGGGAAATAGAAAACTTACACACAAGGCAGAAGGTTAGGGACAAAACCTATCATGCACTGGCAAGAGATGGGCAACTCTGCTACTGAAGGGGAGGACTGTCCAGTGCAATTTGCTAATGGATTTGCTGTTGGCATAGGTGACCAGAGGTTCTGTCCCACAGAGTTAAAATGTAAACCAACACGAAAGGACGGAGGGCACTACAGTTTTCTTGGTCTTATAGACAAAATAGGGTAGTCATTAAAAAAAGTGTGCATTGAGGACGGCCCAGGGAAGGGCAGCTGGATCACTGGGCAAACGTGTTAGCCTTTCACCCTACGCCAGTCAGAGTTCCAGAAGTGTTGCCTTCAGTAAATCAGGTACTGAGGGGCTGCCAGGCACAGGAAAGCATTGGGAGAGAAAGTCAAGTTCACATTTAATAAGCTGTGGCCGGCCACTTTGGGACAGCAGCCAGCCCAAAAAGAGTGACCCGAGATAATGGCTGGTAAAGAGGCACTATGAATTGAAAGCCATCTGAAGGCCATGTAAGTCATTTGCCTACATTAGCTTCCCTTTGCCTACTGAATGAAAAAGACTGGGGAGATGTTCACCCCCTCTTGCTTTGACCTCTGTTAAAAAAAATAAACAACCAACCAATAACCAAACAACAACAAACACTGAACCAAACACAGAGAGGAGAGAGAGAGAGAGAGAGAGAGAGAGAGAGAGAGAGAGAGTAAGATACGAAATAAAAACCAGAGAAGTGAGCAAACTGAGTCAGATCACTCAGCTGGACATTTCCCGATGCCCTGCGGGCACCGTCTGCCAGCCGCACTGTGATGGTTATGGGAGAATGGAGGTCTTGCTACTGGATTCGGCCCGAATACACTCATCAGTTTGCTTCAACAGCCTCCGGACCAGCTTTTCTAGGTCCCTTCTTGATTTCAACTCTTCTTCCAGGCACTGCTTCATTCTTTTATTCTCCTATGATGGGAAAAGGTTGGTTGGTTACCAGACAAAGGGACCCCGCCTCAGGGCCCCTCCTGCTCAGTGGCAGCCTTCACCACTGACAACACTTTCCTGCATCAAGCTCCTCTCCCTCAGCTTCTAAGACAAGGCAGCCTCTTGATTGTTCTACTTCTCGCTGACCATCCCTTGAAATATAACACAAGCATTCTCTAGGGCTCTGGCCCCGGCCCTCTTCTAATTCAACACACTTTTCACTTAGTGTCTCTTCTCTTTCAACTCAAATAACTACATAGGCGCCTCCCCAGTCTCTCTGGTACTGACCTCATCTCAGGTCATGAGCACCAGGTCCACAGTCCCCAACGCCAACTTAGATGTGTTACAAGCACCTCGGACTCATTACGTCCTAAAGTGAACTCAGTATCTCCCCCACCACCCAAACTTCTCTTCCTCCTGTGGCTCTTGATTTCCGTGAAGGGCACCACCATATCAAAGTAGATACCCAACACTCCTACACTGTTGGTGGGAATGTCAGTTGGTGCAGCCACTGTGGAAAACGGTGTGGATGTTCCTCAAACAACTGAAAACAGAACTACCATATGATCCAGGGATCCCACTCCTGGACATATACCCAGACAAAACTATAATTCAAAAAGATATGTGTACCCCTATGTTCATAGCAGCAATATTCACAAGAGCCAAAACATGGAAACAACCTAAATGTTCATCGACGGATGAATGGATAAAGAAGATGTGGTACATATATACAATGGAATATTACTCAGCTATAAAAAAAGAATGAAATAATGCCATTTGCAGCAACATGGATGCAAGTAGAGATTATCATACTAAGTGAAGTAAGTCAGAAAGAGAAAGACAAATAGCATATGATATCACTTATATGTGGAATCTAAAATACGGCACAAATGAACCTACCTATGAAACAGACTCACAGACATAGAGAACAGACTTGTGGCTGCCAAGGGGAGGGGGATTGAGGGAGGGAAGGACAGGGAGTTTGGGATTAGCAGATGTAAACTATTATATATAGGATGGATAAAAAACAAGGTCCTACCATATAGCACAGGGAACTATATTCAGTATCCTGTGATAAACCATAATGGGAAAGAATATAAAACAAGAATGTCTCTATGTGTATAACTGAGTCACTTTGCTGTACAGCAGAGATTGGCACCACACTGTAAACTAACTATACTTCAATTAAAAAAAACAAAACAAAAAAACAAAGTAGATACCCAGGTAAAAAGACTCATCTTCCATCCCTGGCTCTTTCTTAATCCCCACATCATGGCGCCATTTTCCAAAGGCTCTAACTCTGCGATGTGCCTTCCTTTACATCTGTGTCCCTCCTCCGTAGCCTGAGCGGCTCTCCCTCCTCAGCTCAGGACTTTATCATGTCTCACCCTGAGTTTTATAATAACCTCCTAAGTGGTCTTCCAGCCTCTGGTCTCTCTCCCTTCAATCCATCCTTTACCCTGTCACCAGGTACAGTCAGTCCTCAAACCCAAGGGAGAGTGTCCCTCATGGAGCACTGGATCAGATCTGCAGAGGAGGCCACAAATCATGATTTATGGTTCTGTTTACACTTACATGCTCATGAATGACTTATCTTTTCTTAAATTCTGTTTGCAAAAGTCAGGGAACATGAAAGTTGTAACTAAGTTTGTGATCCTATTGTAAATCCCTAAATAGGTATATAAGCGAGCTTCAGAAATTGAAACCCAAGGCCACGTGGTAAAATCAACAAAACCCACCTGGCTGACACAAGGGAACTAAGAATCCCCACCTCACCACCTTGTTCCTGGCCTTCTCCTGAGGGCATCTACCAGTGCACAGCAGGGAAGAGGGAGCAGGCCCATTAGGATCTGAGAAAACGACTTTCGAATTTCATTACCTGTTTCAGCTCTTTGACCTCATCCTTCAAGGCATAAACAGTATCGACAAGGCTCCTAGAGCACAAAGATAAAGTTCATAGATTAACAGATGGCACTGAGATATTGTTAAGTGATACTTAAGAAGAAAAGCAGCTTTATAGAAATACAGATCCTGAAAAGCGGTGGCCTTGTTGGTGGATTGGAAGAGATACTGCTATGAATGGTCCTTGTGTTTCTCATTTTTATGGGCTAACAACCAGCATCACACAAGCTCTTTCTAACACCGTGTCACCGCACGTTTTCTACACTTCCCTCCTCCTCTGCTGCTTGCTTCCCAGCTTAGGCAAGTACTAAAAAACTAAAACAGACTAGTGTCTTGTACACCTGTAACTTATAATAATACAGTACATCAACTCTACTTCAATTTTTAAAAATAAATAAAAAGAAAATGGGGAGGGGGAAGTGTAAGCTGGGACGAAGGGAGAGAGTGGCATGGACATATATACACTACCAAACGTAAAATAGATAGCTAGTGGGAAGCAGCCGCATAGCACAGGGAGATCAGCTCGGTGCTTTGTGACCACCTAGACGGGTGGGATAGGGAGGGTGGGAGGGAGGGAGACGCAAGAGGGAAGAGATATGGGAACATATGTATATGTAGAGCTGACTCACTTTGTTATAAAGCAGAAACTAACACACCATTGTAAAGCGATTATACTCCAATAAAGATGTTAAAAAAAAAAAAAGAAAGAAAAGTCAAGAAAAAAAAGAGACTAGGGCTCCTCATAAGGTTTTGATTTCTCTCTTGGGGGCAGGAAGGACCATCACCTGACATATTGTAATGAGAGGTGTCACCAGGCCCTGCCTATCCTACGCTATCTGTGCTACGGCATTGCCCTTCTCACCTATCTGACCCTACACCATCGTACATGACACAAACACAAAGTCAGGGGCATTATTTCTCAAAGATTCCATATATTCCAAAAAAGGATAAAGCGCCTTGGCAGAACTGTGGAAGAGTCATTTCCTCTCTGGCTCTCTCCCTGGACAAGGACATTGGAGATCTGGGCTCCAGTTCTGACCCTACGACTTGCCAGTCCTCTAACCTTAGGTAACCAGTTTTCTTCTCATCCTCTCTTGGTCTTATTTTCTTCACACACAAAATGGGGATAATACCACATTCCCTGAAAACCTCATAAAGTCATTGTAGGGGTTAATATAGCTATAATAATAGTAATTATAACGATCATCATTTATTGAGTAATTATCATGTGCTAGCCTTTGTACTTCTTATTCCACTTAACCTCACAAAAACCCTGAAAGTATTACTATCATACCCATTTTACAGATGAGGAAACTGAGGCACAGAGAGGTGATGGAACTTGCTCCAGGTCACACGGCTAAGAAGTACCAGAATCTGGAGTTGAATCAGGGCTGTTATTCTCTTGAGCCCAAGTGCTGTACCATTTGGTCGCATCACTTCATACACCAGACGGAAAAATACATTGACGATGCCAAACACTGTGAAACACGCTGTCCTATGCAAATTCAGGCCTGACTTCAGAAATGACTCAAGTATATACAAGTACTTAACCTGATTTTCCCCCGTTAGGTCACCCTCACTACTGTGCAAAGCTAAGTCAGGGACATAATTTCCCTGAATCTCAGTTTCCTCATCTGTAAGAGTGGTGAAAGTAACGTTTATCTCCCAGGATTGCGGTAGGAGTTTAAATGAGGTCAAGTATGTGAAAATCCAGTGCCTGAGTCAATAAATGTGAGAGGCATCCCTCTGGGCAAGGGAATTGGTGCTATGGCCTTCCCAATGCCTCCAAACCCCATGTGGAGTGGTATTCTTGCGTGCCCTGAAGTCCCTTCCTGACCTCCTCTGCTTCTCCTTTCCCCTTCCCTTTGTTGGGGGGCAGCCCTCCCCAACTGTGCTCCCAACTTCACAGTCAGCCAAGAGGGCCACATTCTCAGATGAGGAGGGACTGTCCTTCCGTGCAGGCTTGGCCAAAGCCACGTTGCCCTGCCAGAACCTTCTTTCCAGCCCCCAGAAAAATCAGAAAAGGTTTAGCCCGCTCTACGCACTTTTCTTCAATGATGGTCTGGCCGTTGCTTCTGGTTTCTTCAATGATGAGTTTCTCTTCCTCGGGGAGTAAGACTTGGGGAACGGAATCCTTGCGAGCACCTACAGACAAGGGTGGCAAGAGGCGAGGGAGGGAGTTTACTAGGGGAGACTATTTGTTGGGGGTTAGTTCCTTTCTACTGTTGTTTTTGAGGGGTCTTTGTTGACGGCATCTGGCTGCCTGGCACCCCGAGAGTAGTCATCCAACATCTGCTGACGAAATCCTCCTGACGGGAGAAATTCGAAATGGCCAAATACACTGATTCAATTCTGGGGGCCGGGGGCACATTTTGTATTCAGAAACACAATGTGAAAAGGCCGCTGTGAGAACTGTCCTCAACGAAGACCCCATCTTTTCCTGTTTTGCCTCTTGCAGAGCAAAGAGCCAGCCAGTGACCATTCCTCCCTGCGCATCTCTGGGGAACGGCACGCCACACCCTGTGGGTTTTGTATTTGAGTAAAAATCATGCAGAACGTAGCACTGCACTGGGACGCAGCATATGCTTAAAGGGCCTCAGAAGCATCACTCACTCCCATTTGTTCTCTTTACCGTCCTACAGGGTGAAGCAGGGTCGGTGAAGCCCATTTTGATGGAGGGTAGAGGGGGCGTTGGGGAGATAATCACAACAGCAGCAAAGATGCAGGCGTCCTTACTGCTCTCCGCTCACCATCTCCAGGCTCTGGGGTGGAAGAGGTGACAGAGCAGCCACGGGACCTGACCAGACAGCTCTCCTGCACCTGCAACCTCCCCTTCCCTTCTGGATCCTTCCTCTCAGAGCCACTGGCTTCCTCTCTTCTAAGCCAAGTTCCTTCCAGTTGTGAGCACTCAGTGCCTTCACTCAACCTCCATCCCTTTCCCGAGGTGGATGTGTCTCTGCCTTCCTCGGGGCCCAGTACTTCGTAGGTGCTTAATAAGTGCATAGCAGACTGGCCAACTAACCAACCGACTGGATGCAGCGAGAAACAAGCGGCCGCTTCTACGGGTGCAGGACTTCTCGCTGGAGAGGGATGCGGTCACCAGGATGCGAAAATGCTTACCACGTGCCAGGCACTATGCTAGACACTTTCCACACATAAAACGGAGGCCAGGGAGGACGGGGGTGGGGGGAAATGAGACTCTTGAGGCCAGAATGCCTGCCCGCACCTCTGAGCAAATCTCCCGTCTCTGTCAGTGTGAGGACAGGAGGCGGCGGGAGGTGAGGTCAGATTTCGTATGAGGGCTGCTGCTTCTGGCGTCTCCTTGCCCCTCTCTCTTTCCTCGTTTGTGCAATAAAAACTGCTCTCACTTTCTTTTCCTGACTCCTCGAACCTTGCTATCAGGGCTGGGCATGCCCAAAGCCAGAGGCAGGTTTGGTCTGAGAAGCAGAAGGTGTGACAGTCCCCACTTCAGAGTCAAATGTGTCAACTTCCACATAGAATGCTTTCCCCATGACGACCTGAGAGACATGTTACTTTGGAAGCATCGGTCAGGGCAGTCCACTGAGGAAGCCCTGCCCACACTCAAGCCAGGGCTCAGTGGCTGTCCAGATGAAACATTATGGAGAGCTTATCTCTTACACAGATGCAAGACCCTCACACCAGGTATCCTGAATGTCCATAATAATGAAAGACCAAGGATATAAGCGATGTGACCTGGCTTTTCTAAAAGCACAAGGATGAATCAGAAAGTATTATCTCGCTTTCAGTTTGTAGCCTGAAAGTTGTTGGGGGAAATACCCTCACCTAATGGCTCCCTGATAAATTGTAGACATTCTCAACAGGCCCTGCTAAGCAGCTACATTTCCAGATTTTCAGAGCAACTCGAAACTTGAGTTTGGTGAAGCTCTGTTTGCTTAAATATGCAGCTGATCAAAGATAGTATTTTGACTTCCTTTCCAAATCTGCCTATAAGAAGAGATTAGCATCAGTTCACAGACACAGGAACTCTCTGGGCTCTTTAACTAGCGTTGGTGAAGGTATCTGCGTACTTCAAAGGAGAGTGACTTTAAAAAAAAAAATTATTTTCATTTCTATCACCTCCAACTTTTTTACTCTTGCATCTCTCTTTGTCTCTGGGTGAAAAGAAACAGTGGGTAAACAAACCGCTTGGTAGCTAAAACCAGCTTATCTGAAAGATGCAGCCCTGTGCCCGCCCCTCTGCTGCAAGTCACCTGCTTTACACACCCTGCAGCCCATCTGGGTTGCTTTTCTCTTTTTCTAAGAGGCAGTGAGCAGTAGCAAAGAAACATCACTCATTAGAGAAAGTGGTTTGGGGGAACCTACTTGAGCCGTGGCCTTGTTGAAAGTTGGCACTGGTACAGTAGGCTTCGATCACTTTCAGAATCTGAGCGTCCTCTTCCAGAGCAGCCGTACCTGTCAAGTGTAATGAATCGTGACTCCTCAGGGAGATACATGCCTCTGGACCCTCGAAATGATGTAGTGCACTCGGGTGCTAGGCACTGGCTTCTCTGACCAGTGGCCTTAATGAAAGGCAGGAGAAAAAGCTGACCGGCTGGCATGGTGGAGCAGAGACACATCCACCTTGGGAAAGGGATGGGGCACCAGTGAGTTCAGCACCGAGAGTGGCCTGCTCCGGAAGCCACTCGGAGTTCGAAATTGGAGGGTCCCGTCAGTGTCTCAGAGGCTACAAGGCCAGCCCTGGTCTTGGCGCTGGCCTCAGTTCTCATACCATACACCACACCCTTCCTCTCCATCAAATTTCAAGGCTCACTTTCCCAAGAAGCTTTCCACCATTAATCCCACCCATTTTTTTCCCAACCAGCCAGCCTAGTCACTGATTCTCCCTCTCATTCCCCCAACCCCCTCCAACTCATTCTAGAAATGACTGTTAACATGCTGATGTGTACATCCAGGGATGAGGTGAGGGGTAGGGGAAGCAGAAGCTAGAGTCCAGCAAAGCTTTATCCAGACTGTATTTCGGACTGATACACACAGCTCTGTCACCCCTTTGTGATACATCACTTACTCCTTCATGTATGTCCCAGAGTACCTTGTTCCCAGAGAGGCAAATGTGTACATATCGATTGGCTGACCGACTTTGCAGCCTGCCTCTAAACCCAGCCCTGTTTCTATATGCCAGTAGGCTGCTTCCTTGACTAACTGAGAACATCACTGAACATTAAAATTCCAGAGGATCTCAGGCTTTGGGCCTATTTAGTCGATCTCAGTAAAGGCAAATATCTCAGGTGTCAGAAACTAAGAGGGAAGAAAAAAATATATCCATAGCAAATGGGTCCCTTTGGTGGTTCTAAACCAGGTAGAGCCAAATATTCAGCATGAAAACTATATAGGTGGTTTGTCTGCCTAAGATGACATGAAAAGCAGCAGGAGACAGCTTTATTGCAAAATCTGAGAGGTGGCGGCCAAGCCTTCCCATGCATTTTCCTTTATGTCAAAGGTGATGCTGAGAACATACTGCTCAAATCCTCTTCTTTCAAAAAATTCCTCATCCATAACCAACTTTCTAAAAGCACGAAACCCATACTTTTGCGGATGCCACATTCCTCCTCCGATGGTTTTCTTTCAGTTTTTCTTTTGTGAAGAAACTTCTTCATCGTTTTGGGGCTTTTACCAGATTCCTGTAAGGATAGAGGTTTCTTTATGAAATAAAAATTTCCCCAAGAAACAAATTAAAAAAGCAAATGAAATTTAATAGAATGGCTCTCTCTTATTTTTGACAGTCTCACTTAGGAGGGTATCAAGATTTAATACTATACACAATAAAAATGGCTCCAATAAACTCTAAAAGGTTAAATAAAACCGAGGCAATGCTATTATCCTCTCAATTGCCATAGAGATGGGAATAAGAATGGTGTGGGCCTACTGCAGATGTGGCTGCTTCTCCAGGAGGCCAAATGCCTTTAGGGTGCCATCTGCAGAGAAAGTAACGGATGTCAATCCTAGAGAAATAACAGTATTCCTAACTTGGTTTATATTCCCCACTGATACAGCTTTAAGGGAACAAAATAACAATTGTAACTATTAATGGGGTATGGACCACTTTTTGAAGAGCTTCAAAACTATTTAAATAAATTCTCCTTAGCGACAGCCCCACAAAGAAGAATATCAATTTCCATTTGTGAGACAGGAAAATTAAGGCAGAGAGACTAAGTAAATTCTCTGTAGTCAGAGAGAAGAGCCAAATGAAGGATCTCCTGATAAACAATTTGGGGTTAGGCATAACGTACCTACAGCAAGCTTAAACATACATCTATAAAGTCATATTTTTAATTAGTAGAAAAAAGAGATGAATTATTGGATTTGCCTTTGCCATATGAATAACCAGCAGGTCTAAAAAGGTGCTCATTAAGTACCCGAGTAAACAGTGATCATCTTATTCCAATCTCCCATGCAATGTATATACAGGATGCATGGTTAACAATCACTACCTTCAAAATAACTGCAACAAAGAATTTAATTTCTTCCACTTAGCCTCAGTGATCCACTTAGACTTGAAAACAGACAGACATGAAAAACTCACGTGACAAAAATAACAGGAAAAATAGAAACAGCATACAAAAAAACCCCACGGAAAACAGACATTTTAGAGGCATTATAAGATGACATTTTCGTACATATTTCACAAGAGCCTACTTTTCTGAAGAAAGTACTTACATGTCAGAATTGTATCTTCACATTTTAGCCACCAATTGTAACAAGGGACAAAACAAGCATAAAGGAAAGCTTCATTCATCAAAGGTTACAGCATAGCATTATATGATGTCACTGTATGCCAAAGATATCGTTCTACCCTTACCTTTAAGATATAAGACATCCTCTAAAGTGAATATGTAAGGAAAGAGAAGATGAGCGTGAGAGGTCGATGGTTATAATGACCAAATCCATTTATCAATAATTCTAAAACAACATTTGAAATGTTAGTGTTATCATAAATTACACAGAGAGAATATCATCATGTTTCCCACATTAGTTTCAGATGCAATATCATCATGCAAAAGCCCAAGGAACACAGTTCTGTGCAGAAAAACAAATGCTGAAAATAACTGAAATATACATCTCCCAGCAGAAACAAAGTGATCATGCCTTAGTTTTAATGGATTAGTTCTGTGAAGGATTAAGTCAACTTTACCCTTCAAAGCTCACCTTAATTTGAACTTAGTAACTGACAATTACAAAATAGCCATCATTAAAGGGGGCTTTTAGGGGGCTTCCCTGGTGGCACAGTGGTTGAGAGTCCGCCTGCCGATGCAGGGGATCCGGGTTCGTGCCCCGGTCCGGGAAGATCCCACATGCCG